GATTTCTCGTAAGAAGCCATACAGAAAAACCCTAAGTTTTTATTACATTTGTTTATATAGTCCAGGCTTATATGCTTATTTATCTGTTATATATACCGTATATAGGCCTACACCCTGTACTCTATTATATGCCATACATTTTGGGGCGTTAAATCGTGTATGAAATACCAAGCGTAATGTACATGACCTATATAATAGGCCTAACTCATTATTACCAACTGATAATGAATTAAAAATATTGATGTGCCTATAATGGATTCGAATGAGAAAAACAATTCTATAGGCTTTCTAGTCGTCAACATACCACAAAAAAGTGGCTGTGACACAGACACAAAATCTGAAATAAAGTTTATAATATAATAATCATAACCCATCCCTGATATTTTTTCAGTTAAAACTTCCAATTCTTGTTTCTAAATGGGTATAGTTGCGCACTTTAAAAATCACACTGAAAAAACTGCGTCGAGGATAACGCAATGTTTCCCCTCTTTGGTGACACGTTCAAAAGCTAAACGTGTTTAGATATATCTTAATGTGCTTAGGATCTTGACATGTTTAGAATTAAATGTGCTTAGGTATTTGACATAATGATATTAAATACCTCAATACGTCAGAAACCTAAACACATTATGCCGCGGGCCTAAACACGGTTAACTTTTAAACGTGTCACCAAAGACGGGATAACGTTGCGTGGAGCTTTGCGTTCAAATCCTCCACGCTGTTGCTACAGTGTACTAATTTGGCCATGCTTTCTTCTCAGATCTCACATAATTCCCAGTTGTATATCTGAATACAAATAATGTAAAAACAATCCAACACGAAGATCACAAATCCTGGCCCCTTATCTGTATACACGGCCAGAACCTGGTCAGATGACACTCCAAGGAATATATTATACGTAAACGTTTCGATAGCATTAGTGTAAGCATGGTGTAAGTAGGGCTTGTTTAAGTCGTGATTGAGCACAATGACTCGGTAGTAGTGAACCGAGAATTTTGACAGAACAGTAAATCATGACTTCTTTACTACCCTCTCGAAACATTTCTATCCTTAATATTAAGACTAAAAAAAAAGGCGAGTTATGGCGCTGATAATGTTGTAGTGGATTTATTTTACGAGCTCACCGATTAAGCGTGGCGCCAATAATAAGGGATAGGGATAGGGAGGGTCCAAAGAATTCTATAACTATAGGCCTCTGGTCATCACTATGAGTCCCACTCAGTGAAACAGACCGTACGTCTTTATTGTAAATGTAGGAATAAAAAATAAGTATAGTAATGTCAAATATAGGCCTATTCCTCATTCATATTCATAGAGGATCGAAAAAATAAAACAAAATAAATCAACATTTGATTCAAAGCAGTTCACTACGAAAGGTATTTGATCATTTCATTTTATTATTCTATTTGATAGCCAATATTTGAAAAATGATATTTGGCTATCCAAAAGGCAAGGCAAGGTCTGTCTTTACCATTAACTTTGCAAATGACTTAGATGCTCTGCTTCCCGGGAAGGGGTTTTCCTTGTTCCCTGAACCCCAGCGTCCCGCTCTCAGTGCAAGAATTTATCCCGGACTGGACCATCGTGGCTCCCGGATGATTGTAGAGTTCGTTCTAAAGGTCACCAAAAAGTGTGTTTTGTAGTGGGAACGTACCCTTAGCATTCCAATCTATCTCTATGACAAACTATTATTTATTATTATTTATATTATATATTATTATTTATCAATGGGCATAGAATGTTGACATATTGACTCTTAACGACATGTGCATCCGGTGTCTATGCGTGATGTAATCTTCAATGGGCTATGGGTCGCATCACCATCATTAGGACTCATTTCATTTTGTAAAATGGACATATCGAAGCAACTGTGTTTCTTCCCGTAGCAAATAGCCCCGTAGGATGCAATTAGTCTCTTCAATATTGTATTTCGATAAAATCTAAATTCCTTTATGGAAAACGCAATTAGTGGTATTAGCTTTCGGAGAGAAAAAGAAAGTAAATACAATAAGCGTTAGCTTGACGTGATGCTGAAGTATGCGCTGAAGTGGTACGAAACGTCCAACGTGATCAAAGGCAGAGTGGGTATGATTGGGTCTGGAATTGTGAGTGGCAATTTGCCGTGGGGTTATATTACACTGTCAATCAATGTGATCTCAGGTTTACGTCCTCAAGTTGAGTGTGGAATGCGTCGATATAAAACGCTTTATAGATCATGTCGCGTCGTGCATTTAACAGTAAAATTCAAGAACTGTCTAGAATCAACTTTCGGACTAGAATCAACCAGTAATCGATGTAATACGATACCGTATACCGTTACGATGCATGAATACAATCCATGAAATAAATACACAACTTAATGTTAATACTGTGTACACAAAAGCCGCACACTCGTCACTTACGGTAGGTCAGTATTTATTTACCCTACGTACGTAGGCCTAAGCCTTTATATTAACTATTAATTGGCCTTACTGTATTTTAATAATTTGAACAGCAACACCAGTAACAGTGACAACAACAACAACAATAACAATCATATTATAATAAAATTATTATTATTATTATTATTAATATTGATCATTATTATAATAATAATAATTATTATTATTATTAAAAGCAGTGTATCATTTGACATAGAAAAAAATCCTACTAAAATATTTGGACGTCATTAAATTCTAAAGTAGCTCATGATTAATATAAACAGAAGACTGAGATAGCACAACACAACTAAAACTAAAGAAATCATAAAATTATGAAATGATTAATCCTTACATTCGTTGAATTTATTATTCTACATAAAATAGGAGCATATGAGTATCTAATAATAATCAATACAGTATTTATAAACAAAAATTTCTCGCTATGTTTATGTATATTTGCATAGACTTATGCGAGTTGTTACATGTTTATGTACAGTGCGGAGGCAATGTTTCATTTATGTGGAATGTTAATGCAATTACCTACAAAAGAAAACGAAATATATTTTGGAACATATGAATCACGGTGCATTAAATTTGGTACGCACGAAATATCGTTCGGCACTCGCAAGTCTCGTACACTTAGGCCTTCCTATCAAAATAACTTAGAAACAAAAAATGTGTTTACGCCTAAAAAGTACGGTAGCAAATACACAAATAATACAACAATTTTGGATTCGCATCGCGCACCATCTAGCAAAATAGGCTAGGCCTTGGCCAAGACTATTCCAGCCTTCTTAATTTGCTCATAAAAAAAAAATATTGTTCCTTGTAGCAAAAAAAAAAAAAAAAAATAAAAAAAAAAAAAAAAAAAAAAAAAAAATTAATAAATTAAAAAAAATAAAAAAACTAAATGCCGATCCTGATATTTCATAAAATTTGGGTCGGTCGGGCGTGGCCAACACAATAATTTTTTTATTTGCCCTTATATAACGCGTACTTATAATCGACTTTTTTGCGTCCGTACTGCGTCACTGATAAAGGCTATGTAACGCGCGCAATAGGCAGTAGCGCGGTGGTCTCTGCAGTTACCGCATTGCAGACAGAGGTTATCGCAATACAAACCGTTTCCTGGTGTAGAATTAGTGCGATTTCCCTACTGTGTAACGTTCAATATTTTAATTAAAATCTAAATTGCTTTAATGAGCAATTTATTAACGCACGTATCTCGGCTTTACACTTTTCCCATTAAGACTCGCTTTCGGAACTGCGAATAAAGAGCTTAGATGATATGAATGGGGAAACTAACTTCTAATAAAATACATCCAAAGTCTATCAGTTACGTTTGATTAAAATTAATTTCCGTCTGCGGGAAGAGCGTGTGTTAAGGTTCTGCAATTAGAAAGAGCTATTTAATGAAAAGGCCCAAGCCCACAGCGACCACTCGTAATGTTGTATTGATGAAACTATTCATGCTTGTGGCGAGTAAAATCGTTAACACATCATCCGAACATTATATTAATTAGAAGAGTTGTTGAGAGAAGTGTGAATGTTCTCGCTGATGTACGATACAATGCAATTTAGAGTTCGTGTTATAGAGTTATTTATTCGTGTCATCATAATTTTAATATCATGTACTCTAGCTTATTTCACGTGAAAACCTGATATTCCGAGTGATACCACAATACACGAGTTTCGCTACCCGTTCCTATTTATTAAATGTCTACGTAACTATTGTTCACACTGCAATTGAAGTTACCGTCTATTGATTTATTGCAATAGACTTCATATGCCTATCAGCCCTAACGTAGGCCTACTTCCCTTCACCACGCTTGCTCTAAATATGATCGCGCAATGAGCATACCTGCAATGAAAAAGCATGATTTTCTTTACGAGTACTGTACTATACTTAACTTAAACTAGTTATGTAATAAATTGTCCATGTGTTGAACATAATTCCAAACTAATGTATTGGGGTATGCGGGTCATGACCTTAATGGAGTAACTTGCCTACCCCATGATGCATAGTACATGCAACGAATAACAAAGAAATAAATGAGCTACAGTTATTATACACCCTTACCACATGATGCATAGTTTGGTTAGGGTGGGTTATAGGGGTCAATAGGACTTACTGTTACGTAATTCCCTTATCTCATGTACTTTGGCTAGGGTGGGGTACGCAGGTCATTAGGATCCGTTTCTGAATATTTTTCTTTTTTAAATAGCCTACTTGTGATTGTTTAGCTAATGTTTTCCAATGCTTGGATTTGTACCAATAAAAGAAATTAAAACAAACAATTTAAAATTTCGTACCATGCTATAATCGCACAATCGACGTCTCCACTATAAACCCCATTCCTTGCGATAGACCTATTGTTGCCTAGTTGCAAAAACGACTGTAAACGTACGTAATGTTGTGTTCTTGTGGTACATAAACGTATTCCTAGGCCTAATCTAATTGGTCAATTGTTAAGTCTGATACTTAGGAAAGGTCGATTACCGTTAGTACTCTCTAATGAACAATGTGTGGGGATTCACAGTCAACGTATCAAAACCAATTGTATTCAATAAAATACTCACTTCAAGTAGTCTGTTTTACACAAGATCATCCCTCTCTTGGAGAAGCAGGATGGTCCGATGTCTTCGAGTTGCGCATCACAACACGCACATTTCAAACATCCAGTATGCCAATAACTATCGACAGCAAACAACAAAAATCGGTCTACAATACTGCTTCCACATCCCGCGCAAAACCGTGCAGACGACGGATTCATACTATTGGCTGTGTTAGCGTTAGGTCGCATATTTTCCTTACTTTCTGAAGATGCTATAAGAAAACACAAAATATGAACTTCTTAATTAATTCTGTTGGCAAGTAGAGAAAAAGTTAATAATGAATTAAGGTATTACATGCAATGTTATGTGGAGTATAGAATATAAGTGATAAACTTAATTACAAATAATACAGGTGCTTGCTTTTTGCCAGCTTGAATGAGCTTAACATGATCAAGAGTAAAACAAAATAGAGATAGCCGCCCGACCTATATCCGACACTGGTTGGAAGTGAACGGTGATTAAATGCTATATACGCGGTGTATTAATGTACTGTACAATATACACGCGTTAGAATTGACCGATCTTAACAGCCCTCTTACAACTAAACGGCTTAAATTATTTTATTAAGACGCCATAAACGCCATGGTGACGAAGCTATTACACGATGAAACAAGACAATAACTTGTCACATATTCCAGGCGGTTCGTGTTTCATTAATCCAATTTTGCATTTCTCGTCGAACGACGTATTAGACCCCACTTATCTGGTCAGAGGTAGCTTGGACATCTGGCCTGCCTGATTGACTCCGAGGTCTTGAGTAATGGTAAAAAAACATCGTTAATTTTGATTTCACTATAGATGCACCACTCAATACTGTCAGCTGCGGGCCTAATTGGAGCAATTAGTAGGGAGAAGCTACACCTCGACCGCCTACAGAGAAAGAGGATTCCAAAACACTGTATAATATTGCGATGCGAGGGGTAGGAACGAAGGATCGAAGAGGACGCTAAAATTATCGTCGTACTGAGCACATTTAATGTGAATTCAGAGAGGTGAACTTTGGGGTCAAGCCAATTTTCATGTCATCCATTAACCGTAGAGATTTTTTTACGCATACACAAGCAACACTTTCTACTTCACGAATGCTTGGGTCGTGCTTATCTTTAGATATGGCCTCCTCCTCATCTACACCCTATTTAAATTCATTAGGCCTATAATTTGATTATCCACGGTAACCGTGTTACCCCATCTTCCCTCCAAGTTTACTCCACGGACGTGCTTACATTGACTCTGCACGTTCGCTGCTTGATTCCTCTACCATATTTTCACTTTCGCTCAATCACAATCATTTCACAAAATACAGGTGAAAAGATCTATAGGCCTATTTATGTTTATTGCATTACTGTAGACCTACTGCGATTTCTTAGGAGAAATGTAAAAACCAAAGACTATTCTCATAGGTAAAACCACTGTCTGTGGTAAAATAAAACCAATCATGTTTTCTCCATAAACTTTGTTGGGCGGATTATATTAGGCCTAATTGTTCTTCCTTTTTGTCAACTTTAAGAATAATAGGACGGTATTTGTTGTGAATTGTACCGTAAATTGTTCGATGTTTCGGTCACAAACATAATTTTACTTTCTTCGGTTAGCAGTGATTAATTTTGCTTGCAATTATGATTGAAAACATTGATCAACCATCACAAAGACAAGTGTAGTATTTGGCGTTCGAATTGTTCAGTTCTTGTAAAGCAATGTGCGTGCGCCACCATTCGGAGTGTACAAGAAAAGTTTAAAAATGTGACTACTCGACTCAATGCACGCTTGAATTGATTCGTATCGATACGATACTGACCAATCAGATGCAAAGTGTATCGTCGTCGAAATGCGCACTTACACATGGACGCGCTCGTTGCCTGTAGGCCTACTCATACGCATGCTTGATTATACATTCACACTTAGTGAGCTACTGTCCCAACAACGATACCGTAAATTTAGTACATGTGTGAAAGAGAACTACAATACAAATATAAGATGAAATTTAAACCAATTAGCCTAAACATGTTTCATTTCTAATTCAACCGAGATCTTAACAGTAATTTAAAACTCTACCCTAGCTTTTCATAGCAAAACAAACGCCTAATATAATCACTTTGTAAATGCACTCCACTAAAACAAACATTCTAGCTACGGGGCATGCACCAAGCAGAAGGTGTCACCATTGAACCACTGCCCAAAAATCATTCGACGAAGGGATACAAAGCGACCTTATTAAATCACAAGACCCATGGGTCTAGGCCTGAACAATTGAGAGTATACCGTTACTTTTTACACCGTTAAGCCTTTTTGTTAAATTGAAATGGACATACCGAGATGTACGCCGTGAGTTTTTAATTCTAAGGATATATATATATATATATTTTTAAATAAATACTTGACGCAAACTCTATGCGTATTGTTCAACTGATTTAAACTCACTTAACCAGAGTGGCCTCCAGTCAAATATAATTTAGAATAAAGACCACTGACATTTGAGTGTAAAAAAATACAATAAGCTTGTTTGCCAAGATTCAAATCAAAGCTTTCATCATCTTCTTCGCTAATATCCATTCAGATCGAGTAAAAAAATAGGTCTTCAAATTTTATCTATATTCCATCTCCAACGATCAGTGACAGCCTAAAAATCTCCAATAATTGGATGAAAGTTAAACAATGTACACCACGATGGGAGAAAGACATTTAACGATGTAGGCCTACTACACATTGTAATTTAAGCCAATCGTTGACAAAGAATACTACAAAGTTATATGTGCTTGACTATTTATACAGATCATAACTATACCTGGATACACCTTCTTCATAGACAGATACGATACTTTAGATAAATAATGCATAGGGGCCTATTAGTAATATACCTGAGGTCTGGCAGGTAATATCAACACACTGTGCAACATACAGATATTGAATTAAATGTAGGCCCTATTCATTGTTCTTTGTCATATCAGAGCTAACCAGAGAAATCGATGTTGGTTTGTTCATAGAGGTATTTATACCTCCATGGTTTGATCTATACAAAACCAGCAAGTATCGTTGTCTGTTGAGTAGAGATTACACAGGCTGCCCTTGGCCTCATCCAATCAACGTGCGTCTTTCCCGACCAAAACAAGCCACAACACCGGGAAAAGCATGGATGAAGGAAACAGGCCTGGAAGTTGGGAAACAACATCCAGGGCTTCCTTCCACGATGAGGAAACACTTGGACATTTTTACTGTTATCGGGTTTTCTTTGAGTAGGGTGCGATCTAAGCCTTCCATCCTCTCGTGGACCAAACTCTTGCCTAGAACAAAGCCGTCTGAACACCCACAGCCATTCAAACGAGCGGATGTTTTCATGGCCCGTCAATAATCTCATCTTCTTTTAGATGCTTTTATTAGGACGATTAAATAACAACAGATAACGGAAACAATTCAAAACAATGTACAACTTCGTTGCGAGTGATAAGACAAATTGGTCGAGAAGAGCGTACCTGACGTATAATATGTTTCCTCTTGTCCACAGTGATCAGCGTTGATATGATTGCGGTTAGAGTATCAAAGATAATTGACATCTCTCCAACTTTGTGATATTAATAACTGATATCTAGTGCTTTAGAAATAATTAAACCGATAGAGGCCTGGTTATATCATGATAATATTAATATTACAGTATGATATAATTCTCCATGACAAAACCATCTCGCATGTTCAATCAAAACATTAGGTTTGTAATAACTTTCAATAGAACATGTACCGTATCAAAATAATTCATTTATTCGTTGATTTAAAAAAAAATAATAATTTGTTACCGGCTAAATAAAAAAAAAATATTCGGTCTGTGTATTACATTATTTTTTTTATAAGAACCAGTACAATTTTGCCCAGACTCAGTGTTCATATTTTTTGGTCAATTTTTAGGCTCAAAATGTTCTTATTTTGTTCTAAATTTACATACATTTTAAAGATGTAAAATAATTACTGTATTGTACAGCAGTATATTATTTGTTTTAATAACAAGAGATTAGGCCTACGCAGCAGTATAGTACTGTATTGTAAATAGCATTACACTTTTTTTTTTATAAGAACCAGTAAAATTTTACCCAGGCTCATTATTTTTTGGCCTATTTAAGACTCAAAATGTTCTTATTTTGTTCTTATGTTACACGCTTTTCAAACATAGAAAATTATTATTGTACAGCAGTATACACTGTACTGGAATGTAGGTAAATTGGCCCCGGAAAATGACCCCTGAAAAAAGAGCCCCTGAAAAAATGGCCCCTGCAAAAAATGGCCACAAATAACGGCAGGTAGGTCTGCGCCACTGTATTAAAGAGGGTATTACATAGTCACACCTACTGCACATAAGGTACAGATATAATTTTTTAGTTTTTCTAGTTTTTAAAAATAAAAATCTCATTTGACATTTTACCTCAGCCTCAATTTGTTCTTATTTTGTTCTTAATTTTTAAGCATTTTCAGCCTCAGTTTTCTTACAAAATGTGTTCTTATAAAATAAAAAAGTGTACATAGTCACATAGTCACAATTTTTTGTTTTTTTCTATGTTATAAAAATGAAAACCTCATTTGAAATTCTACCTCAGCCTCAATTTGTTCTTACTGTATTTTGTTCTTATTTTTAAGCAATTTCAGCCTTGCTGTTCTTATAAACTTTGTTCTTATAAAAAAAAATGTGTATCTGGAAAAATAATAATTAAAACGGTGAACTGTTCATTTAAAAAGATCAAATTATCAACTTCCAACGAGAGACAGATTGCAACAATCACTGCGATTTGGAGAATTCTTGCTAGGAAAATCTTAAAAATTGATAACTAGCCAATAGTGATTTCTTGAAATAAGGAAAAGTATTACTACAGGCAATATGTCTCAGTGTTATTAATATACGAGGAAATGTTTCCTCTTTCTACTTTTGACTTCAAAGCTAATAACTTAACTTAAATATAAAAATATTGTTATTGCATTTTATTGTTCACGTTTAAGGGCTCATGTTTATTAGTTCAACATGAGTAGTAAAAGTATCTTTAAGCTGTAGTCAATGGTGGTTCGTGGCGATCGTGTTAGCACGTGGAGAAAGGTCGTGTCAACACGATCGATGATTGACATGGGAAAAACGTGGCTTCAATTCGTGTTATTATTATTATTATTACTTTGTATGTACAGTATCTTCGAACTGAACCCCATTTCCGTATACAGTACTGCACTGTATTCCCTTCTTCTATTTGAGTTGTGAATCATAATTTTCAAAAGTTATGTTTCTTATTATCTGGAAATCACATAGCCAGTGGCTATTTGAAACCCATCCGTTGTATAGCCATAAATCGAGTTTCATAAATTGTGCGTAATGTGTAGCTTTTGAGTGCTGCATGTGTGTAGTGTTGTGTGTCTTTTAATTTACATTTTACTTCACAACAATGTTGTACACATCTGGCAAAAAACCTTACTACGCATTTTATTGCTCAACTATATTTTTATTGTTTAATTTCATCTACCAGCATAATTAATAAAATAAATTATATTGACGATATTTTGTGAAATATTTTAATAACTGAAGCGTATTATATCATAAATTGTAGTTGAGCCTAGGATTAATGTCCTTAAGAATTGTGACGTAGCCTATAATAGGCTTATGTATGTTTTTACGGTCATCGTGTAAAAGAAAGAGAAAAAAAACCAAAACCGAATGATACTGTAGCTAGACCTAAAGGGGGAATAAGAAACAAAACTTTGAATTGTAAATTTACAGGAACCTTATACGTTTATCACTTTTTGAATAGTGGAATCTATTTGCAATTTTCCCGGTATAAACATTTTTTTATTTAACTTTTGGTTAATTAGATTTACGTGGCAAAGCTTTAATTACGACGATTATCAAGCGACAGAATAAAGGCTTAATTCAACCTATTAATTATTCAGGTCATGCATTAAAAACACATTTTAATAGAAAAACAACAAATCATATCATACAATCTCTTTGTTCCCCTATTTAAGGAATTTTATTTAAAATCACGATTATAAATATATTGTGAAGTGATACGTAATACAATAATGTAATTTCACGATGGTCACACGTTTTATACCGGTCGAAGTTTTAAGATGGCTTGCCAACGAAACAACCATATTGGTGAGGAGTTGTAGCGGAGTAGGTATGTTTGCCTTGAATCATATTATTCTGGGAAATCCAGAAACACTAGTATTTTTTCTCACGACAAAAAATAACTCCAACCACTCATTATAAGATTTATGAGCATCATTGTGTTTGTCTTGTGAAAAGGGATTGCCATTTATTTTAAGGCAGTGATTAAGCTCGGTATTGGCAACCATTGTTTCATGTGCCTAAATATACATAAATATATTTAACATCAACTGTAAAACTGAACGCGTCAAACGGTCAAATATGAACGCGTGTCACACACAATTACATAAATATGTTTCTGGTTTAATTTAAGTGGAATACTGACACCACACCCAACAACTTACTAAAAAAAAAAAGTCGAATTTCAATTGCCAATCCTTTTCCTTATCTTTTCACAGATTCAATTCAGTCAAAACATTTCTCGCAATTTCGTCATGAATTCTTATCTATTACCTTATCGCTGCTTAATTAAATTAATCGAATTAATTAAATTTGTCTGAACGTGTACGCTTGGAAGATATTCCAAACTGGAAACGTCCTTCAAGATAGCTGAGGGCCGACGAGGTGTTGTATTGTGAGTTTATTTTTTGTATGTGGGCTGCGTTAGGTTTTTTTTAAATTATTGCTTGTTTTTTCGCACGTGATCTTTCAGGTTTATAGAAGGGTTTATCAGCCGGCGGGAATCTGTCATCACGGAATTTAACTCATCACCTGCGCAACATACGACAGATAAAATGGAATCCGTCGATGGAAATGGACTTAATCCATAGTTAAAACATGGAAGAACCTCTGCAGTTAAAACCACAATTCTAATTACCCAAGGTTTTTTATCTCGTATTGAATTTCCTAATTTAACATGCTTATACAAGATGCGAAAGTGGGCACGATTCCAAAGAAGTAGGCCTACAACTATTTTATGAAATGAAAAAATGAAATCTTGTTTTATGTTTTGATACGGTAGTTTTGCATTTTGTCAATAATGTTAGTTCATCAGGAGTGTACAATGATACTAAATTGTGTGCACGTCTTTCGGTGTGAAACATCCCAATGATAACCCACGGTTCAAAGACTTCCCTGTACTTCCAGTGGGGTCATTCATAGTGATTTAATATAAAATATTTCGCCACAACACATCATCAGTACAATTTCATTACCATCTTCATCCAATGTTTGTTTCTATAACGCTACCAACTGATTACCACCAAATATTCTGAATTTCACGTTAACCAATTAACCTACATTAAACAATACGTCAGTTAAACAATATAAGGCCCGTTTCATTAAATTATCCCTATGAACGTCACTGGAGGCTAGGCTCTGCGGTGTAGAATATTTCGGCTTTGGGCTGAACGAAATTATTCACGGCAGGACAAGACAAACTGGCCGTAAAACAAGTACCGTACGTACGCTAATTATCAGTCAAGAAGGCCCGGCTAAGGTCAACCTCCGAGAGACCCGGCTGCTAACATTAGGTAGTGATAGGATCGATATGGCAACCAATGGTGTTTCTAAACATCAACCTAATCTAAGAGCAACTTACCGTCAGATAGCAAAAACATAAGCGGAGTACGTTCCTGGGAAATGATACCTTAAAATAACACAGGGCTGGCACGGTGGTCTTGTAATTACGTCTAACCGATTCACTTCATCTCGTCCGAATCATGTTCTATTTATCAAGAACGTTTAGGCTCACACGATTAAAATGAAAGATTGCCTGTCATGAGGGTACACAGGATTGCGAAACCACAGTTATGTGTATTGACATAGCCCTGCACGTTAAATATGAATTGTAATTGTCTGAAGAAGTTAAGAGTCGATGTATACAACGAGAAAGCAGTCACTCGGCAAACACCATTTCACACTGAACATACATAAACACTACAGTACAGTGTACCATGAGGAAGAGGGTTAATGGACTTCAACACATTGGTTTCTAGGGCGACCAAGGTATATTATATACACCTCAATGGGGAGACACAACTGTCCTCCGCTGTGGAAGAGCGCATGGCGTTTCCATGAACACATCAAACGATGAAGACGTACCCACCCCGGGACGTTCCTCTGTGGTCGGACACAACGGCAGCACTAATGAATGGGTCAATCACCAGCCGTTTATTTGTTCGAGTTTATTAAGAAATGGTTATAATATTATATCAATTCATGGAGTCGATTATCTAAGAAAGTGGATGTACTGTTTAGTAGTACCAGGGAGTTGTTATTTAGAAACAACTCCCTGGTAGTACATATGAGTATACAGTACATCGTTAGTGAGCTGTTTTAATGGATATGAACAAACAATGACCTTAGACTTTTTAGAGGGAAATATGTACTTGGACCATGACCTTGTAACTATATAACCGAGATTAATTCCCTTATTTCTGATGATAGTAACGGAAGACAAACTAAAAGCTCTCTGTTTTAGACAAGGCACGATTAAATTTAATACCAAGACTAATAATTCATTGGCTTGACTATTAATGGGATTTTTAATACGTGAATATGTGACACAATCAATCACCTATCACTGTAGACGACCGTAAAATAATTAACGCTCTCTGTAGCGAGTAAAGACAAAAGTGCTCGAGTAGAATACGATTGTAGTACGCGTGGTGGTGGTAAATACATTTGCTGATCTTTATTTGCACGTAGACCAGACTCTCCATAGTTTTTAGAAGACGTCCCCCTCCCCTTCCCCAAAGTAATCTTTTAATAAGCTGTACTAAATTCTTCGATATTTAGACACATACCATCAGGTCTATATAATTCTTTCACGAAAAGCATGGACTCTAATGAATATTAGAAGTTATAACATGTTTGTGGGACATGAATGTACTCACCAGGTTCGAAAATTAACTTAGAATGTGTCGATGAACCGTTTGACATCCTCGATCACTGATTGAAGAACCTAAATCTATCACAATTCACAAACAACGAAGACTACCTTATAAAACATCGGCCCCAAAAGATTCAGATAAAAACGATTGCTGAAGACGATAAGTCCACCGCTAAATGATGCAGCGATGCTCCCTTCTTACTCACGTAGTATTGTCTAAATGTTTAGTCGAGGTTATTAGAATAACCGTGGCTCATGCTACCTCTTTACGACTGGTATATTAGTATTATATGATCCTTCAATGGTGTGTTTGTGAACAACATTTACACTTAGAACAGCTTAAATCCCAGTAACCATAGAAACAACAGTATAAAAGAACGAATGTTACGATCGCGATGCTTCAAGCCTCTCTCAGCGTAACATGCTAGGCCTGAGAACGGTGACGAGCTGGCTGGAAAATAACAACGACGGATCGTGCGATGTTCGCTGTGCAAGCTCCAGTCGTGCACTGCTAGAGTTTTGATCACTTAACCGACTTTAATCGTATCGTCTGAACAGGCTGTCACTCGATACACGATTCAATGAAATGGACTAGTTTTAGCTGAGAAGCGATCACATGAGCTGAGTGCTTTGCCTTCACTACGTTGCACATTCAATAACAAGTAAACGGACGGTATTTGATATATCATGTGTTATTATATTCTTTCGGTCAATTGGAAGTTTCCATTATTAAGTAGGGGATCCTATACAGATGCTTACCTAGCTGAACAGCTAAATACTCTCTATATATTTCAATATTGCCTCCACACAATAATATTTATACATGGTAAATAATAGGTACATATATTGGCGTTTCGTTTGAGAAATTATAAACATAAAGAATAATATACACAAAAAAATATAAATATGTTTTACCGATGCTGAATATGGTCTCATCTATATTATTAACAGTTGTCTGTTGTACCAACAAGATATAATGAGAATTGAGTCGGAACACTTGCCTTACCTTTAATTGACAACATAATCAATTACTTCGAGGCAGTGCAGGTAATTACTTAGCTTTTTTTACATTTAAGGGTCCAATTATTTGTTCAGTTCTAATACGCTCGGCCATGTAATTCTGCTTATGGCTGCACGAGAGAGCAAAAACAGCTGCCGAACCGAGACTCCTACAGAAAATCGGAAATTACTACTACGTAAGCCTTGTCATCAAAATTGTTCATCTTATTGACAATTTCGAATTTCTAAGCTGCAGAAACTAATTTTCAGAGACATCAACAGTAGTGATATCGAATAGATGCTAACCATAATAAAGTTAAAATGTATGCAAGATTCCGACCCAGGGCACGCGCAGACGTATTATACCCATTAACTGCATGAAACCAATGTTGTTTTAAGTTTTCACACTGTTGGCAACATTACATATTAAAACCAGACTACTATTGAAAGCAGACGTATACGGCAATATCTAGTTATACGAAACAAAGCGTTACTTTCTTTTAAAACAAATTAAATATTAGGCCTATTACTAATAATAATATCAACACGACACCACTGCTAATACCTAAAACATGTACGCTTACCGTATGCATAATTACCCCTGCCATTTACGTCAATCAATTAAATTTATATCAATTTTAATGCATTTATTATGCCTAAGTTATGGAATGTTTTAGTTTATATAAGCCTAGGTCTATTTTTATAATTAAATCATTTTTTTTTCAAATACAAATGAAATTTCATAAACAATACGAAAGAGAATTGATCTACTCACTTCGATGTGACGCGCGGTTTGTAAAATGAACTCCGTGGTAAAATTAAAGATGTACTCTCTTTCATTAGATAAGCCAATTGAAATTTTTTATTCTATATTTAAATTGGTTAATTTGTATATTTAAGTACTGTTAGTTATTAACAATTTTGTCTCCATCAAACATAACGAACAACTAAATCCATTCGTTCACAGTGTACCGATGGCACAACCAGGCCCGTATCCGGGGGGGGGGGGTTATGGTTCGGGAGAACCCCTCTTTTCTAGCAAACCCCCTCTTTTCTGGCGAAACCCCCTCTTTAAATTTCCCAAATAAGTCCTCCAACCCAACTAATGCACTGCAGGCCCACCCAGGCACAGACATTTTCAAACATATCTGCTTTTATAGCATTATTTAGACCCATAAAGCACAAAAATCCTCTTGCTTTGGGGGTTTCGCCGAATTCGTCAGTACAGGTAATAGGGCTTAGAGGAACCACTGACAAACCCATAACGTACTCATAACAAACTACGGTATACGACAATGGAGGTACGATATTAAAAGGTTAAACATTCTATTACTTTATTTGTAACTTCCAATGAGCACGGGTAAGACAGGCCTATACAAGATCAAAATTCAATTTTCAAATACGAAAAATTATTGACGTGCTTGATATGAACTGAAGATAAGTGCCTCTTTCGAACACGAGCCATGCCCTGTGTTTAACTTCATGTGCTTAGAGTCAGGCTCTGGAGGAAATAATTTTGTTGATATGTTGTAGAACAGAATTTTGTAAGACAGAAAAAAAAAGTTGTTTGACGAAAAACTGGGGAACGGTCGGAATAAGATACAGATTTTTGAATATTTAAAAACTGGGGGAAAAGGAGCGTAACCGCACATTTTTTACACCTTTTTTCCCAGTTTTAAATATTCAAAAATCTGTATCTCATTCACCGTTCTCCAGTCTTCCCGTCAAACAACTTTTTTCCTGTCTTAGAAAAATCAGTTCTACACATATCAAATTTTTTCCCCTTTTAAATCGAGAGTATATAGTAGATACATAAAGTGCTTTGATGTTTCGTATCATCTGAATACTATACGGTAGATTCTCACGAATTAAATAGACCTAACGTTGCAACAAGTAAGACAACTGGTACCACTTTATGATTTAGGCCTTATAATTATTTTATAAACGCCGCCCTCAAATTCTTTGAAGCCCAAAAATTGCTATGCGCCGCGGTGCGCTTAAAATAATAATTAATATATTCAATTTTGACTCTATTAGGGATCCTAGGTCATAATATAACACAGCAATTGAAACCATTAAGATGCAAACAAGCTTAATAGAATTCATAGGCCTAAAGAAATTTGAGATCTAAATTGCACAACCTAGAGTAGGCCTAATAAATATTATTAGCTCATGCCTATATACCGTACCGTATTAGTAGTAATAGGCCTATTATTGATGCTTATATTGCCATTATTATTATTATTATTATTATTATTATTATTATTATTATTATTATTATTATTATTATTATTATTATTATTATTGTTGTTGTTGTTGTTGTTGTTGTTTTTGTTGTTACTATGAATTGTTATTATTACAGCATTATAGCATTATATCCTTTTTTACCAATATTACTATGTTCATTTATATAACAAAAACTATCTACCACGCAAACTGATATCAAAGTTATATACACAACCCAGGCCACTATAATTTCTTCACCTATTGTGTTGATAAACGTGGAGACATAAGGACTTTACATTGAAAGTTGAAAGCAAACAATTTTGTAATATTTGTCTGCTTCAATCTCATTTATTTTTTATATAAGCTGTAAGTTTTAATTTCCGTATCAGGAATTTAATTAGAAATTAGTCTCTGTTGCAGTTACTTTGATGCATTTAATAAGCGTTTCATTTTGTATCAGTATTAATAACTGATGACGTCATTATGTCAATCATTTATCACCATGATATGGATCAAGATTTAATAAATAACTAAATTAGAAAGCGAATGTCTTCTATACATTTGTAGATTTCATTTTACGACAGGTAACAAGGACAGCAGTTGATATTAAAATACAGAATTTAATAACGGAACTGTCAAAGCCAGTGCTACTGAAGAGCACAGAACAATTGTTGTAATTAACTCACTGATATTTCGTTCGCGTTATTAGTAATCAAGTTATTATGATGAGGATTAATTTTCATTTTCATAATCAGCCATAGGCCTATTGATATTGTACTTTCCACTGTTTTTCGTATGCATGCATGGGAGTCACTTGTTAACTGAACTGGATTAGCCTGCCTTGTATGCAGTGCAAACACATACCCCGGAGAGTGCAAACGTTTGTCCGATGGCTGAACTCCCTACCCGAGAAGCCAAAATATGAATTTAGGTCGTAGGAGTGGGAGGGGGAATTCACGGGGCCGAAATTCTTTTCACACCAACTCAAATTATCACAATTTCGCCATGCTCTTCCACGCAACAAAAATTGCGCCATACTGACTCCAAAGTTATTATTGGGTGTACCATATCGTCTGTTACTCAAGCGTCTGAAGCATCTTTCCACAACCCTGTTTAATTAATGCCTACTACTTTAATGTCAAATTGTTCCTGATATTGTTTGTTAAACTTAAAAGGCCTATTACAGATCATAGTATATTATATGTAGGCCTATTGTATATTACTAATAATTATGTATTATAGGCCTATTGTAATATAGATGGATAATGTGGGCACTAGATCATACAGGCTTA